CACTCTCTCTCTCGTTCACACTCGCACTCTATCTCTTTCTCACTCACTTTCACTATGAAATTCTAAAATTCTTCTAAAGCCTCGTAAATTGTATTAACGTTAATGTCGATCGGACAACATGTCGGATAAATTGTATCCGGTACAATCTTACATCCGTTAGACTTTGAAAAACACTAACAAGCATAGACTTATCACAATTGGCGAATCGCACGTTCGCGTTCTCTAACAATAATGGTAAAACTTGAACTAACGTTCACCCCTCGCTGTCATTTTTAACTGTTTGTGTCACGTGATAGGCATTTCGCTCGCGATACTAAACATAACGGAATTCCACTTCGTAATGACGATTCCTCGGACAATTGCCTTCTCGCCATTGGGATTTCCAGGTTTTACTAACCTGAAACATTAATACTTCATTTTATGTTTTGTCAGGCAATTGTCATTGATTAACGACTCACCTGCTTCGATTGACTTGGTGGCTGAAGAAATTCATTAAAATCTTATCCATTCTACATCGATGATGGAGACACGTTCATTTCAAGCAGCGTCGATGGCAAACTGGTGCTCGTTACTCTTTTTATGGAATACATTTTTTTTTCAATTTTTTTTCTTCTTTTCTATTATTTTTCTTCTCTCATCACCAGGTACTGCACTTTTCTGATGGATTCATCCTGACATTCGCCCGGCATCGGAACGCCTCGGTGAACGCTTCTGAGTTCATCATTATACCATTGACCCTGAAGCATTACGCGACATAGGGATTGTATCGATTATATTATCACGGGCAATCAATCAATGTGGATTACCTTTCTGGATGAGGTGTGTGATAGTCCAGTTCAACGGAGAGGATATACGCCTCGGCAGTCATATTAGAGCAGTATGTCTAAGGGATTATAATTATGAGTAATACATTTATAGAAATTTTGAAAATTATTATATTATCTCATATACCCACTTGGGCAGCGCTTATAAAGAATAACTGATTTGGCCGCAGTGCTTCCAAACCAGGCAAAGTACGGTCCTTTCCATTGGTCAAAGTTTGCCATGTTTCATGAGCAATCTGCAAAGCTCCTATGTCCGCCACGTTTTCATTTCTTGTCACGTTCCAATCGAACTACACAGGGACATATGCAATTTGTCCAGGGGATATACGTTTTTTGTGATTCTACTATATTTTTTTTTCAGATTTTATTCAATCATTCATTTATTTCGCTTTCCATGTACCTGTACGTCCACGTTGTTACCGAAGAACTTGACTTTGCGCCAAAAGCTCCGGGCGTAGAGCTTCGCCACACACTCGATTCTTGCCTCTAATCTTCTCCACGTTTTTGGCGTCAGCCAAAGCAACTGATCGGTATCCAGAGATTGTCCACGATGATGAAGATCAAACGCGTGCAAAATTTCATGACCAACGATTGATCCAAGAGTGGCGTGAGCTGCGTAGGCTGGTCCTCCATCCCAAGACCAGGACCAGGCTGTCATCATGGCGATCGGTATGACTGAAAATAAAAAATATATTTATAATGCAATTATTAAAATAATCAGATACCGATGTGTCTTACCGATTGAATTTGTAGATAACTCGTAGTAGGCATTGACCGAGTACGGATGACGGAACCTGTCAAAAAAAATAAATGAAAATAATTCCACAGTCTGTAGAGCTAATAATTTTATTTTTTTTTTTCTACTGTCTCACCTCTCGCTAGCATTTCTTCGAAAAACTTCACCACTCACAGAACGAATCTGTCGAAATCGTCTCATCACGGTAGAAAAGAAATCATCGGTATCGATCGTCACCTTTGAGTATGTTGAACGTCAAGGATAATGAATAAAAAATAATTATAATAAACCTGACGAATGTCATTGGAATGATATAATAATTTATTAAAAAATATACCTCAGCCATTTCACGAGCCACAAAACTCTCATTATGAAAGCCAGGCCATACGTGAAACTTTCCTGTCAATGCTGACAACTTGAGCAAAGCTTGCATCCTTGTTTCTTCATCCAACCACGTCTTCACCAGGATCCGCTCGGCAAGCGTCTCTTTGATCCGTTCGAATAGTATTTCCACCTGTATGTTCGATATTATAGTCCAAAAAAATTGTGTGAAAAAAAAATCACCAGATCTACGAAAACTAGGAAAATATATAGAGGGTGTCAAACAATTCTCACCCTGTTGGCAATAGTATCCAAATACTGAGGATCGTATTGCTGCACGTAAAGTGCCCCAACCGCGAAGCTAAACATGCTCTTGGCCATATTGCTGCACGAGACGTTCCAATTCTTGCTTGCAGTCACGTTCACAACGTCATGCAACGTGTCCGCGGCATAAAGTAGCAATAGCCCGTTGTGCACGACTCTGAAAGATACATAAAATTGTTGGTAAAATTATTTTTATTGAATTTCTTACTTTCCTTGGATTTGACACAAGCAATTAAATTGATATGAAAAATGATGGCATAGTATAAACGGTACAGTAAAGATATATAGGGTGACCCAATATTGATTTAATCGAGCCGAATGTGTCCCGCGGCCAGATTGCAGCCTGTTATTACATCCTATAACTCACGCGTTATATTATAATGTCCATTAGGTGTTAAGGACATAAATTCATAAATTCATCCAAGAGGATATTACGTAGATGACAATGACTTGGACATTAAATTAATGCATTAGGTTCACCCTGAAGTTATTTCCCATCAGATTATCTCCTTCGCTTCCTATAGCATCGTACACGACGATCACCGATTCGAATCTTTAGGAATATTTGATTTACTGCCATAAAAAAAAAATATAGTCCTAATCAGCGAAAAAAAATATTTTTGTCCTAGACATCAAATTTTTTGATCGCCCTAATTAGATTATATTATTGTAAGCATAGACGACGGGCGTCGCGACGCTCCAAAGTGCAATTCCACCGTATCAAAAGTGGTACGGCGCGTCGCAAAATGTAATGCTCCACGTTGCATATTAATTACTAGGTTACGTTTTGCGAGCGTTGGCCAACGTTGATATAACGTACAAGTATGATAACGGCAGTCAGCTATCAGACTATTGCCAACAGTGGCATTTGGCTGTAGCGTTATAGGTTACATGGCCATATCGTTGACCTTTGTAATTTTGTGCTATCAAGTAACCGGCTGATCGAGCATGAATTTCTAATGTGGAGAAATCCAAAGGGTTACTTAGGAAGGCTTCGGATTCTTGGCATTTGCAAAGCGAATGCCTGAAGTTTCAAAGCCGCAAAGCGTCTCAGCTCCGACGCAGACGGAATCTACGTCTTGGACATTCTTTTCATAGTTTCTATCTAGGAATTGAAAATGGAACTTGGACGCTTGCGCATCTAGGTAACCGTCATTAAAGTACGTCATAAAGTTATATTAGAATGTACGCGACTTCATTTTAAACTTTCAAAATGTCCAACTTGTCCCATAATACTCGAATGCCGCGACAGTTCTCGAAATACATTGTAGATGGCACGTATTGAGCAGTATGGCGGACATACAGTGACCAGGATCTATATCACGATCAGTACTGGAAGTCAGGAAACCAACTAACTCGACGTAACAGCTTTCTCGTGTAATCTATACTCGAATTTCGTATACCGATTAAGAAGCTCGTGGAAAGTTCGAGAAGTCATAAATCGCAAATGGAAGCGCCTTGTGACATAATTGTTTTCGCTGATTCGCAAGCTCTTACTGACCCATCGAAAGTTACTTAAATTCGAATACTTGGGACTCTTTTATCGACATAGTTCTAGTTAATTGCGGACATTCTTCGCGCAAGTCTGGTTTTATAGGTTGACATGAAAATTCGTCTTGAGGTACTTCGACGACTCTTAGGTCTGTTCTTTCGACGCGTGTATCACAGGATATGACGTAACTAATATCGAATTAATTCGCATTATGATCAGTACGAAATTATCGGACGAATGCTTTATCGCAACGAGCAGACGCACGTTTGTTGCACAGTACGAACAAATGAATGACGGCTTGTTGATTACTGCTGGTAGCTTTGATTCGGGGAGTTAAACCCGTTTCCATGAAAATTAGTTTCGCATCAAGGCGACAGGCGACGTATTTTCATTGGAAATGTAAATGACGTCACGGGCAGAGGCGATAATTGCAGTTCGTTTTTAACTAACATTAAAAGAGCAATGGAAGCAGGGAGCGCAGCCCGGCGAAATATGCACTGCCAATTAGGGGGAAACAATGGAGGAAAAGTTATATTGATTACCAGAAGCTTCTATAACTATATATACATACGGATAAAGTTAACGGGTCGTATGGCTTCAGAAAATAATTTAAAAAATCATTAGGAAGTTTTAACCCATCCTGTACGTTCTATATTTTAATGGATATTAATCTACCAAGTAATACTAATTATTTGAGGATTTAATTAACAAGTCAACCATCCTGATTCAAGATTCTAGACCTCAATTCCCTGGTACCATGTGTGCATAAGCAGTACCTATATAGTGCAGCAGGGATGGTCCTTCTGTAATTACTACGTTCTGCCGGGAACTTAATCATCCTCATTTGACATTCTGCAGAATAGTTTGAGTGCCATGCCTCGAGATTTATTCTCCCTCTCTGTATGGATCGACGATCGTCCTAAAATTCACGAGGATCTCTATCGGAACGGACGTGCATTAGCGTGTGGGGGGACCTGGCTAATGTGAAATTCTGCTGGGCCACGCATCCGATTAAACTTTGCGAATTCGTCTGGTTATAAATTTGAGTTTGAATTTCGCGCGACAACGGGGCGCCATGTGGATCGTTCAATTTACATAGTAAATAGTGGAGCAGAGTGGCAACCTCGCAATGCCCGAGCAGTTATTTTTCTTCGCGTTTATAAAGTACCAACCAAATTTCATCGTACTGTACGCCAGTGAAAAAGCAGTGCGTTCCATTTCGGTGGTACGGTTGGTACGAGATGAGTTTTAGCTAAGTCGAGGATATTTCTGTGGATTAAAAACACAAAATGAAAATATGTTAAAAAGAAAGGAAGTACAATGAATAAAAAATGTTTACGTAACACGTCACTCAGGGATACTCTTCTTTAACTTGACTGAGAAAACTTTGCCGAGCAATTTCGTAAAGTCTTCAATGTCCTTTCCGAAGTAAATATTCATTTTTCGAAAAAGAAGAAAATACGTGACTCTGCATACGCATGGTAAGGACGAGCACGTCGAGTTGATAACCTTGCCGAGGATATAAAGCCTCCGAGGAAGCTTTCCATCAAGCGTATCAATATTTTGCTTCGGACAACTCAAGGGGAACCCACGTCACGGAAGATATGAATTTATATTCAGATCCGTAGCGCAGCATCCATAGAATCCTGATACCTGCATCTAAAAAAAAAAATATCCTAACAGCTGGTGAGCAATAGTATACTCACCGTCGTGAAAACCGATTCAGCAATTTTCCAAGTCCGTGAAAGTAGTGAGGAGCCGTCACGTAAACGCAGAGAAATCGATCGTCGTCCAATAGAAGATTTTGATCTTGTAGATCCCGATTATGAGTTTTATTATGCGAATTTGGCGTTGCAGCTCCCAGGGTGGCGTTCAGCAGCGTCTTCCACCTTATCTAACCGAGCATCGTGTCCGTTACGTCGATAGTTATCAGCTATTTGATAGAAACCTGCGAGAACTTACATAACCAAATTCTTCTTGAAGACGAGACAGGTTGTAAGGTACGTATACGCGCTGGTCCACGTCCATCCAATTGTAAAGATCCTTGTGTCGCGGATAAATCTGAAAATGCAGAAGAAAATGTTTACGAAAGCCATATAAGACTGTGCCTCAAGAATGATTTTGTTTGGCAATAAATCCTTGAGCTAATCCAACAAGTTTTCCCGAGAGGCGAAAAACTTTTAACGCGAAGCTGAAGAAGTTCAGGATTGAGGACGCTCATAGCTTGAGATTCGTTACGAACACTTCATACGTGTAGAGACCTGAACTTTAGTCGTGATGAATATAAACTTTTTTTTATACCTTTAGGACGCACGTGTACCTTGCTCAGAGCTGTGCAAAATTGCGAAAGCTGTTCCGTCTCCATTGCCTTGTCCTTGTCGTTCATTTTCTTGGGTAGCAGACCGTCGATGATCTTCAGGATCCTTTGCGATCTTTTCTCCTCCATGTTATTCTAGAGGTAACAATAAGTTGAGTCCAATTTATATTCAATGAAGATAACAGCCAGTTATATGGACGATTTATTTTTTACTTAGACAAAATTCCTGGCGTCGCGCCAACCCTTCATTCATGTGGCTCGAGTTAATAGCAGGTCGTGGGTCAAACTTTTTTCTTTGGGCTCGATTAATGCTGGGACTAAAAAAGACTAAAGTTGGGTGACTCCGGGTAGCAGGGAAGAAGAAATGTGAAGCAGGTAGACAGAGTCACTCCCCGTGTCGTAACTTCCTTCGGAAGGAGTCACAGTCCATTCGAAATGAATCGAAGCGAGAGAGATGTCCCTGCATGGTGGCTTTTCAAACTTTACCTCGGGCGATAATCAAGTCAGGGAAAAAGTTGTCGGCCATCCCAAAGGAAACGGACAACGCGAGCACGATAGTAAAGTAAGAGAAGATACAAATTAACGATAGTTCCCCTCGACGGTAAAATTTCGTCAAGATTCTCCAAGATGTCGCCACGCGACGAAAGGATTAATTAAAAGTTATTTAAAAACAGATATAACCAACCAGCTATAACAAAAGACAGTAAATCAAGAGAAAAGAGAAACAATTTCGTAAAACTCAAGTGAACAAGGACGCAGATAATGCTCGACTCCTCCGCGCTACTATAAACATTAGTATCCTACCGACTCCGCAGAAGCCTTAGCTTCGGTATGTTTTACCCACGAAATGGCCATTTTCACGAGCTACCAACTATATCGCCGAGTAAAATCGCACCGTACCTCAAAGTTTTCCCCGCTATGCGCTTTCAGCACTTTCAAGTAACTCGATCGCGATACGTTTCTTCGTGTTTGCCAACAAACGAGACGGGTAGAGAACTTCGTTGAACACAGCGCATTGAGCAGTGAGCGAAACGTAACCTGTACATTTTCCAGCAGGAGGTAAGGCATCTGGTATAAAGATTACGTGAAGGCCCGTGAATCAAATACCAAACAATGCGAAGCGTCTCGTTGTCGTCCTCCCGAAGCGACGAAGTCGTCATAACCTAAAAATATCTCAGCGACGATCCAGTTGAATTCTTCAAACCCATCGTCACTGCACCATTACGAAATGAATTTCACAACTTTCCTAAACAATATTCCTTCCGCCGCCAATATTCTAGGTACGTTTAAATGCAGTCTCGTTCGCGTACGTCAATTGACAGATTCCACGAGCGACGTTACCGACCGAGCTTCGAGTTATACGAGTCAAGTACTCGCCTATGCTTCCTCGATAGATAAATTAAATCAAACTGGCGACTGTGTGGACTCCGATGAAAAGTCTGTAGAACACAGCATAAGTAGGTAATACATGTCAAAAGGGTCTATGTCGAAGGTAGATAAATACATAGAAAGGTGGATATAGACGCAGGCGGAAGGTTGAATGTATGGTAACGAAAGCAATATCTGTTCGATGAACCAAGCATGTTTTATTGACGAAAGGCGGAAAGCGTGTCGGGACGCCCGAATTTCGCAATCTCGTAAGTCCTTACGACTTATACAATTCATTCCGACCTACTTACGTTTCATTGTCCGGCCTATACATGGTTTGAGCAATAAAATAATCCTTTCGTTATCTTTCCAGAAATTACGTGTTCGGTCATACGTTTTAACGTCAAATGGTAAACTGTATGTATATGACTATATGCATACTGCATATATCTATATAACGTATGACGTCATCAACTGCATGCGTGTCCTAAGTAACGGATATGCTAACATTATGGTCGTACGAGACTCTCTGGCAAAAACTTCATCTCGCACTAATTAACTGCAATGCAGCGTAAAACGTAACCAAAATGGATACTGGAATTAACGCAAAGCTGATTAACGCGTTGAGATAAATAATGGGAAATTAACCAATGATAGCTCGCTTCGCGGTCGAGCACTACGTACAATGCACGTAACGTCGAATGCAAATGCTTTAACGCGAATAATAGCCTCATGATAATACAGGATGGATAAAGTGAATGGCGTCCGGTACGTACGTCGCCCATTGTACATTGTATACGAAACCGACGATCCGGAGGGGCACGTTTATAATTCGAAATTAAACAGATTTTATCCAACCTCATGGAAATTTGGTTTAACCGCGATTCGAGATATTTTATTTAAAAGCAATTAACGTTGGGCAATAATTTTTCGAAAATAATTTCTTTTATATCCTGACATAAATTAACCATGCACGATCAACGAATACGAAATCCATTGTAAATTTACATTGTCTTCTTCTACTGAAGTCAATTATTGTGCAATTTAGGTAAATCAACATTTTTACGTACTATACTGTTTCTGCGTGACTTCGTCAAGATTAAGGGATAATCGATATTATTAGAAACTACGTGGAGGGATGAGCGAATAAAATTGTTGGTTACAAGGGTGGAGCGGGGGTGGGGGAGGGGAGTCTAGTCAAATGTAAAAATAGATTAGAAAGTCCGATACTCGTATTACGAGCAATTCCGTGCCATCCTCCATCAACCCTGACCCCAGTAGCTGTCCTTTTTAGAATGCCCTCGCTGCTTAATGGATACACATCGGTCCATTCAAATATCTGGGACGCTGGTATACCCTTTAGGAATGCTGCGTTCAATAACACATAATATCGGGGATGCTTGTGCCGTGCGCGGAAAGTTTTTCACGCTTTTGAAAATCTTTGGGAATATACATACATTTATCTTGAATCCCTTTTATCTACATACAAATGCATATATATATATATATACACACACACATATAGTCTTATGACATATTGCTCTTCCTGTATTTTAGCCTTGAAAAAAAGTACGTAAAACTGTAGAAAGTAAATCGAATTAACTACAGCTGTAAAATTCCACGAAGAAAATGTACGCTCGCCGTTGTTCCTTTAGCCGTGATAATTTTTCATGCGATTTTGTGGCACTTGGTGCTAATACGCTTAGCCGGGTTGGTTAAAAGTGCAACTAGATAAGCACGCTGAAGGGCTTACTTGTTCTTTTTTTCCATTTTTATTTGTTTTTCGTATAATTTCTTTAACTTCTTTCCAGCAGATTAATACTCTGCGAAATCTCTATTCTTACGCTCCACTCAGCGAGATATCTCGATACGAAAGTAATCTTTCGTTTTCCCTGCGGGGACTTGGTAAATGCGATTTTAAATTAAAATTTTTCGTCCGCTTTCCTTACCAGGCACATCGCTTGAATGCCTAACGACGAAGGGGCTTCTGGATAGGGAGTCCCGTGGCTGTTTGTAAGACTGTACCATGGTATAGTCACTACAGAGAACGTAAAAGCCGAATCGGACGGGGCCTATAGGAACTTTGGTGAAGTTGACTGGTCTACCAAAAAGTGTTCGTGGATACTTTCCAAAAGATAAGTATCCCAGGCAAGCGCGTCGTTATCCAATATTTATGGGTGACAGGAAAATCCCATTGGAAATTCTGCCGAGGCTCCGTTTGGTTGCATCGAATGATTTTTGGTCGTGGCATTTGCCAAGGGAGCGCATTGAATTTTACGTGGGGAATTTTTTTTTCGAAAATTAATTGGCTTCGCCCGGGAGACATTACAGGTCGTAAGAGTAGTATGCTACCACGTGTGCACTAGGACGCATTTCCAACGGCAGTCATCCGTGTTTGTAAGTGTAGCGAAGACAGGTAATAAAGAGTCGACTCGAAATAGGTACAACAAGCTGCTCGCTTATTTCAGTGCCGGCATTATCCCCTGGAAATTTCCCAATAAAATTCCCTAGTATTTCGCTGAATGCGCAGATAGACTCGACGTTGATGCTGGCGCGATAATTTCGCGATATTAAAGTTCAGATTTTTATATTAGATTTCCAAATTTTTCAAGGTTATCTTTTTTTTTTTTTGATAGCACATCATGAATATATTCGTTATCACGGTCGATCTGGAAATTACATTTGCCTTTTTTGTTTCAAGGTAAATCACAGAAATCATACCTCGTCTATCCGTCTCGAGTTCCTTCATTTTACACGCAATCAGGATCCACGTACAGCAGCAGAAAATTCACTCTTCGCACGATGGAGTATACACGAGCGCCATCAAGAGGCGAGTAACTGAAGTTCGTTTCTCTTGAATGTCCAATTCGAGAGTAAAAATGGCCGGCATTGAAAACCAGCCCCCCCTGAACCCCCTTGAGGAGAGTGAAGCCAAAATTTCTCTTTAAGAGCAGAAATCACCCTGGCGAAATGGAAGGTCGTGACAAGTAGGTCAAGAACGCATAATGCTCACGATTTCAGGCTGGTTCGGGTAAATGCAAATTTCGTGGAAATTGGAAAATTTATAGGTAAGGGATGCTACGGGTGACTGCCGTTAGTTCATATTGATGATATACCACCTATCTATACTATATACATATATACACAGAGACTATAGAGTAGAAAGAGAAATAACGGGTCTATCTGATTGAACGACTTTTTCTCTTTTCTCTTTACAAAAGATCAGGTACCGTGCCAGTTTGGTGTCTGGATATTTTAGAAAAACTAGGAGGCCCACTCGGAGCATTATTTATTAGTAGCTGCAAGGGTCTGGATTTATAGCCAAATATAAAGCGGTGATTCGAGTCGCGTCAGTATGTATATGTATATAAGCCAGGGAAATGGGAAAACTGGGGACACCGGGTCCCTTGGCGAGATCGTAAACCAACCGCAGAGAGGTAAAATCTTCTAGAAAGATAAACCTCGTGGAGAAGCTTAAAGATTTGAAAGAGTAAAAAAAACTTTTTTTTTGAAAACATGAAAACTTGCCTTTATGAATGTATACGCTCGGCTCTCCGCAGTGCTGGATGATCTCCTTTCCCTGGGATGTTCATCCGTTAGCGTTATAGCCCTTCTCCATCGTGGACCATCGTCCTTCTGTAAAACGAAAGTGAACCGGATAGTGCGAATTCATTGAATTCCTAAAACTTCGCAATGTCGGATGTCAGCAGGTACATTTTTTCGCGATTTCTCCGACCCCTGGACGATAGTCGCGATCTCATGTAGCACAGATTCCGGGAGTTCGGTACTTGGGAGGCAGTATCTGGAGCTCGCGTATAATAGTGAAAGAATCATAGAAAGAGACAGGGTGGCAAATAAGTAAGCAAGGCTTGCCACCATTTGGCAAACAATGCCAGAGCGTGCCAAGTATCGGGTTGGGTTGTGTTATACTTTTGGTATGGGTTCTATGTATCACCGCATACATATATCATACTTACGAGACGTATATACGTTTGTACATAAGGGTAGCCAGCATAGAGGCAGCTACGTGGATACTTTGTAATGACAAAAATTTCGCAATGCAGAATCGTGCGGAGAAGAAACGACCGGAAGCGTCGGTCGGGGATTCTCTGGGCCCCAGGAGATATCAAAGTGAAAGGATATCCTGATATGGACCGCAAGATTAATGCGAGCGGTCAATGAAGAGAGATAAAGATCGGCTAACCGAAATGATCCTCGAGATGACCGAGAGCCAAGGTCCTGCGACAGGATCTGCTAACTCGATCCGGCCATAAAGCAAGCGTAGGGAATTAGAAAGATTCGCACAGTCTCGGCTCCGCGTATTTTGGCCTGGAGCCAACCCGATCCTCGTCCCCTTAAACCTCTCCAAGAACCTTCCCTTGGCTCCAGTCTGTCCTACTGATATCTAGCTAGCCAACCTGAACCAACCATCCGAACAAGTAGGAAGCAACTGTGCTTGCAGTTCCTTTAACTTCCTTGAAGCCTCATACCGGAAACCGATTCGGTCTTCTAGCTTTGCCTATACATAGTCGTTTATCTCGTTATCCACCGTCATTACGACACTTTACTTACGTAACGTGTCTATATCATAATATGGCTTCTACTTGTTTTTTTTCTTTTTTTTCTTCAGATTATCGAATTTCAGATCATTACGAAACCACTTAAACGGAGCCGTCGTCGAGTAAACCAACCGCGAAATAACTTGGCAGACTACACGTGATTATTACCATGGAGCGCACGAGTGAGTGCGTCGTCCTGAATACCCACTTTAGGACGACCTGTATTTTAAAAAAAAAAAAAAAAAAAAAAAAA